TTAATCCAACACAAGAGTCATCAGAACTTGGCAAGTGACATCAGATTTGTTTTAAGTCATGACAAATATCGCATGTTTCCCTGACACTTATCAATTATTTCGTGAGGAAACAATGGAAGGTCATGCAAATATAATAACCCTTGGAAAGTCTTAGTACTTAATCCGAAATGGAAAGATGTGCAAATGAAATAGGCTAAATCCGCTGCAAGAAAAGAATAAAAACATCATCAATCAGTTACAAAACTTCTTTCGATGCTCGTGTCAGGTTAAACTTAAATGGAGATCATGAGCCTGAGTCATAAGAAATTGTTCGCTCGATGGGTAAAGACAATGAAAAAATGAACGAAAGGGTCCTCTCTCTCTCTCTCTTGTAGAAACTCAAAAACACACTTCTTGATCATAAAAAACTCACAAGCCGAAAGGGGTTGGTAGTTTCCGGATGTGAAGGATCAGTAGTTCAAGGTAGATGGTAGTAGTGACTGTGAAGGTTTTGGGTGTTCGATTACAGAGGCGCGACTAGTAGTTGTCAGAGGTTGAAGGCGAGGTTCTTTTTGGTGAGGCCGATAGTGGTGATGATAATGAACGGTGGTGGTGGTTGTTCTCGATATTGTAGCAAGGGTGTACCCCATCCCCATCTCTCTTGCTCGGATTCCCTCCAACCTACCCTCCCATCTAGTTTGGGTTCAAACCATCTCCTACATTTAGTGCGGTGACTCCCCCCTTCATAAATTTGCCTTGATACACTGATCTATCAAGGTTCAAATGTCCGGGCAGTTAAAGATGTGGTCCTCAAGTGTGATTATAGGTATTAGACAAGTTTTTCTGTAACAACGTAAAATTTAAAACAATTTTTCCTATGCGTGTGTACGAATCATGCCGGCGCCTTCCCGCGATCATCACTGGTGCCTGAAACACATAACACATAACACTGTAAGTATAAAGCTTAGTGAGTTCCCCAAAATACCATACATAACACATACTAGCCACTCAAGGCTATAACTCTATGGGCCCATGGGCCCTAACTCTGTGGACCCTCTGGTCCTAGCTCTGTGAACCTTCCGGTTCTAACTCTGATATACTATAATATACACATGACATAAATCATATAGACATAATGCTGTGCAACACTTCACATAATAGCATATAGTGACTCTGTCACATGACTCTAATTACCCCTCAAGGTAAAGTATAGTGAGAAGACTCACCTCATATGTCTCGGTAAATCTCTGACTCGGTAGAAATACGATCTAGCCTCCACCTAATCACATAAAGTAATACTCTCATAAATATAACTCTCATGACTAGAATCAACCCTCTCTAGGCATCCTCAGAAGGGTAAAAGACCATTTTACCCCTCCTTTGGCTCAAAGGCCCTCATTGTTGCTAAACCCTAAAAGTTAACCAAAGTCAATGGTCAAACTTTGACCCGACTCATCGAGTGCACTTGGGCAACTCGGCGAGTCCACATGTGTCCACTAACTCCCTAGTCTCATTTGGCATGTCGAGTCCCTTCCCTTGCTCGACGAGTCACACCTGGCATGAATCGTGGGGCTACCCCGACTCAACTCGCCGAGTCTCAAGATCAACTCGGCGAGTTCCATCTTGAACTCCAGTCCTCCAATTCCTCTCTGACTCACTGAGTTATTCCCCTAACTCGGTGAGTCTACTTGCTGAGTGATTTACGGGAAACCCTAACCCTACTCGCCGAGTCTGGTCTTTGGACTCAGCGAGTTCATGCCATGCAAAAACTCTATTGACCTCCCGAGGTCAGATTTGTTCCTTAAACCCATAGATCTGACCTTCCCAAGCATGATAATCACGTAAAGTTCAGACCTTGACACTCATATAACATCTAGATGGTCCTACTTGGTGATTTAGGCCCAAAAATAAACTTCTAAGTTCATGGCTCCCAAAATAACTCATAAAGCTCCAAGGGTTAAGGTCTCTGGACCTCTTTGAGTCCATATCCAAAGCATAAATTCAAGAAGGGACCAATTGCTCCACATATCCATTCTCTAAAGGGGTTAGAAAACCCTAACTCTAAGAATCAACATCAAAAACGAAGAAGGACTGAATAATTACCTCAAGATGAAGTCTCTGAACTCTGAAATCACAAGATCCGCTCCTCTTTCAACCTCCTCTTGCCTTGGTCACCTCCATTTTGCAATCACACCAACAAAATGATCAAGAGTGGCCTCTCCTCCCTCATAAACGCTCTAGATCTCTTAGGGTCTCTCTCTAGGGTTTGGTAGCCGCAAATAACGATGCTAAGGGCCTTTAAATAGGTGCCAAACCCGGGAAATTAGAGTTTCATTAAACAACGTGGACTCGCCGAGTCCACTCATGGACTCGTCGAGTCCGGTCATGAACCCGGATGAGAATCCGCGACCCTACTCGGCGAGTCTAAGCACCAACTCGCCGAGTCCCTCAACAAATCCCAAAATAAATGAATAAAAATAATATACCTGGGAATCCGGATGTTACATTTTCCCTACTACGCTGATCATTCCAGGGTTCTAATTATTCTACCTTTTTCATCATCTTCTTATATAAACTTGCAAATATCTTAATTTGTTTTGGGTATCTTTGTGTTAATCAACATGCACATCATGTTCAAGAAGGGTTCAAATATCTTTACCCTACTCCTGTTATTGGTTTAACTTTCTTGCATCTCTACAAATCATATACTTTTGCCTTGTATGTCCTTGAACATGAATTTGATGATGTGAGTAATGATTGTAAACTGATTTCACATAGGTTTAGTTATATGATCGAGTTCTCAATATAGGAATTTGTTATTGGAAACCGATTTAATATGGCTTTCGTTACGGGATTGATATTTCGGTCTAGTGTTAATCATTTTGGATTTATTTTAGTTTTTGTGATGGATTTGATGTCCCATGTTGCAACTAAAGCTTAAATTCGTCTTCGTTTGTTATTTGGTCAATGGAGGCATTTATTGTTTTCAGTTTCTTTTTCTGGTTATGATCTTGAATTCAAAGGTCTGGGTTGCATTTAAAATAAAGTGAAAACGAATTGCTATGGTTCTATTATGAGATTAATAATTTATTATGTGTGTTTATTGAAGTTGTGAATCATTTAAGTTATTTATGATCAAGAAAAATCGAACTCATGTATGGGTTTTTAGTTCCTGTAGTTATCAGGAAGAAGAAGAACATGTGGGGAGAGGGGGGGGGGGGGGGAGGGGAGGAGGGTGTGACCCTGTCCATATTAAATTCCATTTTTTCATTTAAAAAAATATAAGAGACAACTTTATAAATGGCCCTTGAATATTGAAATGGTAGAAATGCCCTTCATTTAACGGATAAAAGATGACGAAGTGAGGCTTAAGGACCAAACATAAAAAGTTTTAAAAACACATGCACCATCTATGAAATTTTTTAAACTTAGAGACCGAACTTCATATCTGATAAGAGGGACAATTTATGATGTTTTTTTACTTTACTTTATTTTATTTATTTATTAAATCGTAGTAATTTTATTTAATAAAAAAAATAAGGTAATCGAAATGTGAAAAGATGAAAGTTGAAATATAAACACACCCTTTTTATTTAAAAAATCGTGTCACACACAACATTTATTTAAAACCTTAATTGTGAGTTAAAAACATTTATTTAGAGCCTTAATTGCGAGTTAAAGAGAGAACTAACCGAGGTGATATTTATTTGTCATTTAAATTAAATTTTATGATAATGAGATATCAACTTGGTATTCAATAAACATGAAGTTTAATGAAAAAAGAAAAAAATTTTAATTTTTAAATATAAATTAGTTTTTGTAACCTTATAGTGAAATTTGTAAAGTTGAATGGATTGTAGAAAAAAAGTAATAAAATTGTATGAAATGTAAAAATACCAAATAACAATTTATTAAACTTGTTAAATGCATTACGTACTTACCGCTAAATATAAATAACCAATTTCTGGTTTCCATCGTGATAGACTTGTTAACCATTTACCAATTTCAGGCTTCCATCTGCATTTAGACCACAGTAATATATATATATATATATATATATATATATATATATATATATATATATATATATATATATAGGGTTAGGTTCATTTGAAACCACCTATATTTTGTGAGACCGTGAGACGTATTTTGTTATTTTTATTTTTTTAATTTTTTTTAGTTAATTCATGTTCCGAAAATAATATTTAAAAAAAGAATTTTTTTATTTTTCCAATTATTTTGTATTTTAAAATTATTTTTAGAATATGTACAGTGTAATATTCTATTTAGAATACTTCACGTATTTAAAAAAAAAATAGAATTTTTTTTATTTTTTTTAGTTAATTCAAGTTCCGAAAATAATATTTAAAAAAAGAATTTTTAGATTTTTTCATTTATTTTGCATTTTAAAATTATTTTTTAAAATATGTCAGTATAATATTCTATTTAGAATATTTCACGTATTTTTTTAAAAAAAAAAAAACGGAATTTTTTTATATATATTTTTTATTTTTTTTTAGTTAGTTTAAGTTCCGAAAATAATATTTAAAAAAAGAATTTTTGGATTTTTCCATTTATTTTGTATTTTAAAATTATTTTTAGATTTGGTCTTACGATCTCACAAAATTAAAATGATCTCAAATGAACCTAAACCTAAACCTATATATATATATATATATATATATATATATATATATATATATATATATATAATCATTTAACTGTTACACAGTTTTTTATTCATAAATTAAATTAAAATATTATATTTTTCGGAAAGTAAAAATATTATTTTTAGAGAGAAAACAATCTTATTTTATATTTCAAAATAAAATAAAAAAACCCTCTTAAAAGAATGCAGATACCTAGTGAATAAAAGCATAAACCTCTGTGCACTGCTCACTGCTCACTAATCTCTTGACTCTTCTCCTTCCTCCCCCCAAGCTCTAGAAAGATGCGCGAACATCTGGTTTCATATCAACCCCAATCTCTATGATAAATAAGATCTCTTCTTCTCCACGAAGATGATGACTCTTTTAGACTCACTTTACTGTGAAGAAAAGCACCAATGGGAGGATGACGAACAAGAACCAGTGCGTAGTTACAGCTGTGTTGACAATCACCCTCAACACACACTCCTCGAACACGACCTATTTTGGGAACACCAAGAGTTATCCTCTCTCATTTCCAAAGAATCCCACCAATGCTTCCACAATAATCGCCACATCAGTCCTTCCGCAAACCACCGCCGTGAGGCGGTGGAGTGGATGTTGGGAGTGGTCTCGCATTTCTCATTCACGGCCCTCACGGCGGTGCTCGCCGTCAACTATCTTGATAGATTTTTTGACAGATTTGGAGAGTTAGAGACGGAGAAGAAGCAGCAGCAGCCATGGATGACCCAACTTGCTGCTGTTTCTTGTCTTTCTCTTGCTGCTAAAGTTGAAGAAACACATGTCCCACTTCTTCTAGATCTCCAAGTACGTTTCTTTTTAAGGTTTACTTGTGTTTTGCTCTATCTTTAAAACTAACTCTTTCTTTTTTCTCTTGAAATTCAAGATGGAGGGGAGCAAATACGTTTTCGAAGCAAAAACAATTCAAAAGATGGAGATTCTAATACTTTCAACTCTTGAATGGAAGATGAACCCCGTGACACCACTCTCGTTCCTCGATTATATCACAAGAAGACTCGGATTAAAGAGTTATCTCTCTTCCGAATTCCTCAAGAGATGCGAGTGTCTCCTACTTTGCTTCCTTCCTGGTAACCATTTCATCACTTTCCTCTCGACTTTTGGTATAAATCATATACAAAAGCTTGTTTTAATGATTACTAATCAAGATATGAACTTATATATATATAAACGCAGATGGTAGGTTTACGTCTTATCTTCCATCAGTGATAGCAACAGCAACTATGGTGCATGTAATTCACAGTGTAGAGCCATGTATTGGAAATGAATACGAATCTCAACTTCTGGGTATTCTTGGCATCAATAAGGTCAACGTCTTTAACTAATCTAGATAAAATAACCAAGCAGTGAATTTTATGTTGCTTTGTAATTATCAGTCAGTACCTGAGCAGAAAAGATAATTACTTGATCACTTTTTATATATCTTTCTTTAATTGAAGTTATAAGTTATAACTTATTTGCTTTAAACAGGAAGATGTGGAGGAGTGTTGGAAAGAAATCCAGGAGATAACATGTAGTAGAAATGGAGGTCGACATTTCAATAAACGGAAGTTCGGGGCAGTACCCGGGAGCCCGGATGCGGTAATGGATCTGTCTTTCAGCTCCGATGAGTCGTGGTCGGTGGAGAACCCATCGGTTCCGTCGTCGCCGGAGGGAGGAGCCAAGAAAAGCCGCAAGGGTGAAGCGTGAGGGAAGCTTTTGTGTTAAATGTTTATTTGATTTGATGTTAAATTGCCAACCATCTTTGCATTTAGTCCACATTGATGGCCCCACCAAACTGAGACTTTGTTTGAAGTTGTGTGGTGAGTTTTGGAGGTAAAGATGGTCGGCATTTTATCCGGAAAAAAATGAAATGAAAATTAGAGCAATGTTTTCTTCATTCCCTTTGTAAAATTTTAAAAAGATGAACATATATGTTAATGTCAATAAGAACATTCCCATGGTCAAAAGTAACATGTTTATATTGGTTGTTTGATTCATTTAAGAATTCTCATAGGTTTGAATTTATTTAAATGAGAAAATCATAAAAATATCTTATTTGTAAAACTAAAAAAATAAGAACATATTGTGAATATATTGTGTGGATGATGATTTGGTCCCCCTATAGAAATGCTGTTTTATTAATTTTCTCTTAGTATAAAACCAATTTACTTTTGACTATATTTTGAGCAATTTTTTTTTGTGTTGGTTTTCCTTTAAAGATGATTAGACTAGTATTAATTGGAGTGCATGATGCATAATCCAATGTTTTTTTTTTAATTTTTTTGCTTGCTCCTAGCTTGCGTTTTCTTGCTGTTAAAAATAAGTTATCATGGTCATATCTGGTTGTTTTCATTTAAGTGTTCTTGGGAGTTCGATATTTATTTTGCTGTGCCATATTTAATGGATGTATTTAATAAAATAACAATTTTCTTTTACATCATAAAAAGAACATTTATTTTCCAATCATGAATATTATGATTGCAAAATAGGAAAAAAGAAATCCCCTTAATTATTTAAGATATTTTCTTTGATAATTTATTTTTTCATGGAAGATACCATATCATGCCTTCAAACCATGTTAGTTTAGTTATTTTCTACTGTGTTTGCAAGTTTTTAATACTGTTACAAATGAAATATAACATTTCACAATGCAAAGTTTTCTTTATATAATAGTTGTAAGATCCGTATTATATGTCTTAATTAAAAAAAAATTAGATATAAAAATCTAAATATTTAAGAGCTTTAAATTTATTAAGAAAAATAATAAATTATTAAAATTAAAATATAATTTTTTATATTTTAAATTTCAACAAATAATTTAAATAAATAAACAAAAAAAATTAATAAGCTTTAATCTTAAAATTTTAAAATTAAAAGATAACTCAATTAATAAAATTGATATCTATTCAATAATTATTATATTTATTGTAATTATTATATTAAAATATTATGTTGAATTTATGAAAATAAAAAAATACATAAAATGATATGTGGGTAAAAATTAATTCAAAATAACCAAAAATTATCATTTCGCAAGTTGAATGAGAATGTGCGATAAAAAAACCCTTCATTTATTAAAGATGATTTATAAAGTTCGGATATTTTACAATTGAAATATTCCATTTTACAATGTATTTTTTGGTGCTACTATTCATACATCATTTTATTTATACCCTTTTGATTTGAGAAAAATGTTAAATTAAAGGTATACAACAAGTAATTAGGAATATGTATTTAATAAGTATCGATAAATATATTAAATATTTACGTTTAGTAATTCGGTGTATCTTCAAATCACTCTTAGTTTCATTTGTATGTAACAAAATATTTTATAATTATATCATAAATCACTTAATGTACTAGAGAGTTGGAAATAAGGATTATATATATATATATATATATATATATATATATATATATATATATATATATATATATATATATATATATATATATATATATATATATATATATATATATATATATCACCTAATGTACTATAGAGTCGGAAATAAGAAATTTATAACTTAAATTAGAGGTATACAACAAGTAATTAGGAATATTTATTTAATAAGTATCAATAATGTAATATCCGAAATTGCAGGTATACTATTTTGATTATTTCATCATTTAATTTTTTTGGAGTTATTGGAGGGACTCGACGAGTTGGTGTCTTAACTCGTCGAGTAGTGTCGTGACTTTTGACGTGTTTTAGCGACTGGACTAGACGAGTCGGTGCTGACGAGGAAACCCTAATTTCTCGGGTTTAGGACCTATTTAAAGGTCCTTATGGCCTTCATTTGTGGCCACTTACACCCTTGAGAAACCCTAGAGAGCGAATAGAGCTTAGAGAGCAAAGGAAATGCTAATTCATCATCCTTTTTGGTGTGTTCTTGCAAGAAGGAGTGGGAAAGTCCAAGCTAGATCGATTGTGGAGCTTCGATTTGTGTTATTCATACTAAGATTCGTTTTTGGAGGTACAAATCCTTTCCCGTTTCTTGTATTTGATAGATTTCTGGAATCTAGGGTTTCTTTGCATCATTTTGAGTTGGATTATGAAAGCATGTGATGTCCCAAGGTGGTGTAGATGTTGGATCTGGACCATGAGAGGTCCAAAATGTCCCAACCTTCCAGCTTTATGCTGTTTCATGAGAGTTTTGAGAGCAGGTTACCATTTTGAAGGTTATTTCTCCATTTATGGCTTTGTGTGTGTTGCATGAACATAAAGTTTGAACCTTTACATGACTTTTGAATGCTAGAAGGTTAGATCTATTAGTTAGAAAAGCAGATCTAACCTCAAAATGTCGTTTGAGTGTTGCCATGGAAGGAACTCGCCGAGTCCATAAGGGGACTCGACGAGTCGAGTCGGGTTGCCCCCGATTAATGACTAGTATTAGCCCCTCGAGTGAAGGGTTAACTCGACGAGCCAAGGAAGGATCAATGAGGATTCAGGGGGCGCTTGGACTCGCCATGTCATACGAGTACACTCGACAAGTCTGGTCAAAGTTTGACCATTGACTATAGTTGACTTTCGTTGACTTTTAGGGTTGGGTCCACACTTGGAATTTTGGACCATTAGAAGGGTAAAATGGTCTTTTAGCCTTCTGAGAGAACATTGGAACAAACTAGTCTAGACTGGAGAGCCGTTATTGATTTGAGATGATTGGTTATGTGTTTAGGCGGGGCTAGGTCATTGTGACGAGGTTCAGGGATACCGAGCACGTGAGTTACTAGATAACATACGAGGTGAGTCTTCTCACTTCACTTTACTTAGAGTGGTAACTATGTGTGGCCGAAAGGTATTATATGCTATGCGGAGTATGTGATATATGTTGCTATGTGATATGTATGTTGTTATGCTATATTATGAGTACCATGATATGGACCGAAAGGTCAACAATGTATAGACCGGAAGGTCAAGATGATGAGGACTGGAAGGTCATATGGGTAGGGCCGGAAGGTCTACCAGGGTTGGGACGGAAGGTCCCATAGAGTTATGGCCTTGAGTGGCATATGTGTTGTATGTGGTATTTTAGGGAGTTCACTAAGCATTTATTCTTACAGTGTTATGTGTTATGTGTTTCAGGTACTACCGATGAACTCGGGAAGACGCCGACATGATTTGTACACACTGGCAAGAGATTTATTTTATGATCTTGGGATATGTTTTTATCGTGATGACATTGTTAAACTTGGGAATTTGAGAATATTGAATGAGTTTTATGTTATTTGAAAAATAAAAAATTGTTTTGAAAATTCACGTTGTTACAAGTTGGTATCATAGCCTTGGTTTGAGGGATTCGGATGCACCTTCGGGCGTATCTGAACTCAAACTGTGGATTTGAAAAAGTTTTCATACAAGAAACAATTTTTCTAAAAAGTAAAAGAAATTGAGAAAGCGGAAAGAAGCAGTGTGTACGATCTGTTAACGCCCGAACTTACTACAAGGTCAATTTTCCCGAACTTATTACATCTTGAACATGATGTAAGACCTACTCTGAATATGATGTAAGACCTACTACAAGGTCAATTTTCCCGAACTTTTTCCATCTTGAACATCGATGATATTGATAGTCGGCTAACTTCCGTGTCGCTCTTTGTTCAAATACTTTCATCATATTATCGTTGGAGTCTATCTGAAACCCACTCTAGTCAAGTTATTGGACTAGGGTAATTTAACTACGGAATCATTTTCAAGCCTCTTTCAAAGGTTGACTCATGTTATCCACCAACCAATAATACCCTGGCTTGAACGACAAACATCTTGAGACCATTTTACGAACTTACTTCTACTCTTTAATAGGACTGCATCATAGGGATGTAGGTCAAAGCCATGAGAACGTATTTCTATTCTTTACATGAACGATCGAACTACATCTAGGTTCAACCGTACTCGCTCACGAATTCATTTTCTTTCCGTGTAACAAAATCATGTCGCCAAAGAAAAGTGATCAACCCATCAATCAAACACCAACTATTCAGATTGATGCATCTACCTTTCAAGCTGCAGTCTCAGCTGCCGTGACAGTTGTTCTGACTCACCTTAACGCTAACAACGCAAATGTTAGCGGGATTGTTAACAATAATTCCAATCCAAGTAACAATCAAGTACCTCAGTGAGTAATAAACTACCACGACACCCCGAATCTCAAACCCAAGAATAACAAACGAAAGTTCTGGGCTAATGTTAAAGGAAAATCACCCCAAAGGGCGATCAAAAGGCAACAACCTGTGGCAGCCTTCGCAGCCACGACATCTGTACCTCCTACTACCATCCCTTATGGTATCCCAATTACCCCTAACCCAGCCAGATAGTATGCTGGAAACCTACCGAAGTGCAATAAGTGCAGCTTCCATCATCTAGGTAGTTGTCATCAGTTACACTGCTATAACTGCAACAAGAACGGACATACTACCCGCTTCTGCAGGACTCGGATTCAACACATTACCTCAACCACCAATGTCGAAATTTCTCGGATATGCCATCTATGTGGCGTAATGGGACACTTCAAGAGGGACTACCCAATAGAGAAGAACGCCGGTGGAACAGGAGGAGTTTGACCTCAGAATGGAAAGAGGCAACGAAGGACCCTACTATAGTATAGGTTCACTTCCAATCGTCAGTATTATGTATGCTTTTAAACATGTTTAAAACTAGTGCAAATCGAGTCTTATCTTTTGCAAGATCCCGTCAGTTAAGGGACCCT